CTCCTTCGCCGCCCCTTCCACTCTGCCAAACATGATGTCCCTCTCCAAGAACCAGTCCCTCCTTGCAACATGCCCAAAATATGCCAGACGAAGCTTCAGAATCCTTGACTCCAGGGAACACTCTGGCTTCACCCTCTCCAGGACAAACCTGTTTGTTCTCCTAGCAGTCCACACTTGTCTCCAGCACCACAGCTCAAAGGCATCAATCCTCTTTCTATCAACCCTATTCACTGTCCAACTCTCTTAGTTATCCTTCTATTTTTACAATAATGGTCTTACACAGTATTTGTACTTAAGAGACTGAATTAGTTCAGTCAGTATAGTGCTCTCTAATCTCTCCCATGTTATGAAGTATTTTTTAAAAATCATTGCTCCTGAGTGTTGCATAGTATTCCATCCTGTGAAAATTACTTTCTTCTGTCACTCATCTTATGCCTTTTTACATGATTACATGATGACTTTGGGTTGCTGAGAAACTTTCTTTTCCCTGCTTTTAAGAACTGTTGTTGTTATGTACCTTCAAGTCACCTGGAACCAAAAGCAACCATATTATGTACAGCAGCTCTGAACCCTGCCCTGTCTTGAGCCAGTCTCACTAATTCTGACACACCAACCCACATTGCTCCAGTTACATACAGGTTATTCCTCTCCTGTGCTGTCCCTCCATCCTTCCATGCATGATGTCCTTCTCCAATGACCAGTCTCTGCTGACCACATGCCCAAAGTATGTGAGACTATTTAAAACCCTAGCCTCTAAGGAGAAACTCTGTTTCACCTTCTCCAAGACAGACCTATTTGTTTTCTTGGCGGTCCATGGTATGTTCAAGACATAGTTTTTAAAGAATTAGACTTTCCTTAAAACCTGAAAAAGTTTACTTCCCAACCTTGATTTAGTGATGTTTTCTTAGCTACATCATTTTCAGTTTTTGAATGAGTATACATTATTAACATTCCAGTCGAAGTCACGGCATCGTCTCGCAGAAATTGAAAACCTGACAGAAGACCAAATTATTCGTGCCCTTGTGGATTTTGGAAGCACCACCAAAAATGCCTCTGACTCCAGGGAGTCTTTGCATGAATATAGTCCCGTACTGCTGGCAGATATACGCATGACGTGTAATTACTTGTAAGTAGCCAACTCAAGTTTCTTTGTTGGTTTTTTTTTTTTTAAATTGAGGTTTTAATGAAAGTTTAAAGAAAAGTTGGGTTTTCATTCATTGTTGCTCAGTTCACTTTTAAAGAAAAAACTCATTCCATGTTACATGATTTCCTCCCTCCCCTCACCCCTTCCCAGTCCACTTTGCCATGTGTCTCTTATTCTGGACTGTTGTCATACAAATAATGCCTAATCATATGTTCCTTTCAACCAGTCCTTTTCTTCATTTGTTCCAATGCTGTGTTCATAATTCATCCCCTCTTTTCTTAATCCCCCC